GAAAGACTATCCGCATGTGCACATATATTCAAACGCGCACACCTATTATATAGACTAAACACATAATACGCACGTGCACGCCGTCAGCGTTATCACAGATTCACGTTTTTGAGGTTTACACGGAGATGATCACGTTTTTCAAAACTTGCACCTTGGATCCTGTTTCAGAGTGTGTGTTCTGGAGCTCAAACACTGATGTGTGTAAATGAACGGCCAGAACACATTATACGTTTCTGTCTTCAGTAGAGCGGTGTCGTGTTAGCGGACCCTAAGTTAATAACTTAATAAGTTAATAAGTTGTAAAAATGCCAGATATGTTCCAATCCAGGTTAAAGCTCTATGATTACACAATTAAAAGTGTGTGTTACTATACATTCCAACATCCCAATGAGCAAAGTGAAAATTGAAATGTTTTCGTGCAGGTTTGGACCAAACAATGGTGAGTAAATTAATTCTACTTGGAATTAACTATTGCTGTAATCATCATTTACATCCTCATAAAGTCAAACTAAAAATTATCCAGACAACAGATATAATATTTTTTATAGATTTCCACTAGTGTGTGCAGGACACTATAGTTCTTTTATGTTATGTAAGTGAGGAGAGCAAAATAAAGTAAACTGTGGCATATTACACCCAAATATTCTTCATCCAGTGACTACCAGTAACATTTATACAAATTTGGGACCAATAATTATTCCTCCACTTTGAGCTGATCATGTTTTCTTCAGTGTGTTTTCTGTAATTGCTAATGCTCTTTTTACACACTTTTTACTTGGTCACTGGTTGAGCTAAACTGGTATTATCTAAGTGTGTAGTTCAATTTAACAGCTGACAGATATTCAACATAATTCATGTGTGAGAGTCTAACAGAAGGACGGACAAAACCAGTCAAATATCCACTGATCTGAGAACTCTGAGTTCTGCTCATGTTTATCACCATTTCCTAAACTATGTGATAATGTGAGAGATGTTGAAGGAGTCTGAATAAGTGTTGGTTTGACTGTCGTGTTGTTTAAGTGTGTCAGCATCCATTAGGTGAAAGATGGCTTGTTCTCGGCACCTTGTTTCGCCGGAGAGCCGTGTGCCGCCGAGAGGTCCTGCTCGTCTCCTCTGAGCTCTGACCCGTGCCGAGATGAGGCTCTTCTGATGGGATGGAGGTTCAGATGCAACTCTACATCGGACTGGTTAACCAGAGGAGGCCTGCTGCACACGCAAAAATCAGGTTTAAATGTTTGAATTGGAATTATTAAGACAGAATGCGTGTGATTATTGAGACGGGATTGAATTTACTGGGAGTTTCTATTGAATGCATGTGTGTGTGCTCTGGATGCATGCATCACAAAACCCATCGGTGTAAACTTGCACAGTGATGGAAATTGGTGCAGGAACAATTTTCACTCAGAAACTGGTAAATTTCACTATTAATTTACAGAAACAGCAAGTAACACATTCAATTTTGAAGTAGAAAAAGTATTTTCTTGTAAAACATACTCCAATAATATTCGTGAGCCTCATTTATCAATCTATAAAGTCCCCCTGTGGTGTAAATCCAGCGTTTAATGTTGTTTATGTGTCTATGTGGTGTGTTTAATACGCTTTAAGACACACCATGTGTAAGTTCATAAGTCGACAGCATTGCTGAGTATTTTCTGCTTAAAACTGCAGTGAACCAAAGACAGTCTCAAAAACACGGTTTGAAATCGCTGGTGTTTCTGACGTCACAAACGACCTTGTAACCAATCAGATCAACGTGTGATCGTCAACCAGTGGATCTCTGAGCTGAGGGAGTGAGTGGAGGCGGGGCTCATCTGCATATTCATAGAGCCGCGCATACTAAATGAGGCGAGGGTGTCGAGTTACATTCAAGATATTTCAAGGCATGAAGACATTTTTTCAAGGAAATATTTTTGTGTATTTTGTAAAATTCTGTAATTTTGGTGATCAAAGATGAGTTTTAAGGGATACAATTATTGACTACAAGGGGACTTTAAATATGTGTGTTTGTATTTGAGAAAATACTTTATTAATGGTATGGATAGGCTATATGACACACTGTCAGTAGAATATTTTATGATGAATATACGGCTTCATATTTTGAAATCCCAGTCAAAATGACCTTATAATAATTCAGGTCATGCTAACTCAAAAACATGCGTTCACGAGTTAAAACCTGCCGCCGCTAGGGTGACCACCCGTCCCGCTTTGCATTTTATTTATTCGTTTTGCGGTGTAGTTTTACCTATATTTAACAGCGCTTCGTCAGAAGTACAAATACAACAGCCGTTTATAAATCCTATCCAATGGTTGAACAGAAAGGAGTAAACACGGTCACTAGTGGCGGCTGTCAATCAAAATGTGGAGCGGTGATTCGCTCATGTGTTCCTGTCAGAAAACAAATGGATAATTTGGTAAATTAAAATTTAACAGAATTGATCAACTTGTTGCCTGCTGTGGTGTTTTAATTCACATCCTTTCCAAAAATATGAACGTTTTTGGTTTAATATATTCTTAATATATAAGACTGTCAATGATATAATTTCATGTCGTTTTATATTTTATTTGCTCATTATTTATTTTGTTGGATTTTAGATGGACTTGGTCAGAACCGTTTCAGAAATAGTGACGCCGCTGCCTTTGGGCTCAGCGATGCTGAAGTTAAATGACATGTAAAATAAAGACGTGATGTAATGGTGTTTTCCGGAAGGGACTAAAGAACCAAGTATTTTTATCAGCTGAAAGGCAGAATACAAATGTTTTTATGAAGTTAGACAGTTTCAGGTTATGTTTTAGTGTTGGTAACATGTCCCACACAATCTTAGTAATCGTCCCACATTTGGTTTGTTTGAAAGCCAGTTTTGCGGCCAGTTATGTTCATTATATCAGTGTATACGTGAAATAATTATAATGTAAAGTCTATAATTAAGGGAAGGAAACTAGTCTAAACTAGTTCATTCCAATTCAGTGCCATTGACTTCACAAATGAGTGTTTGACTGGCCGTCCTCACCCTACTAACCTCATTCATGCCCAGATCTAGTGAGGACGAGCGGCACAAACAGCATAATGCATCCATGTTGTTCTATTATATAATGCACGCACGCTTGCTCACATGTACACATCACATAACCCATGAGATCTGCGGTCTGGCGAGCGCTGCCGGCTCTTATGTGGAAGAACAGTAACAGGGTGATGATGATGATGAGGTTTATCGACTATCTTGTGAAGTCATGCATGCCGGGTCCGAGATGAACTGTTTACCACGCTTGCCAATGGCAGGTGAAATGTACAGTTTTTATGGGCCATGAAACTGTATTTTGAATGATGTTATATTTTTCGCAATGATAAAATAATGGGTAAACACTTTACAATTCATGTATTAACTAATATGAACTAACAATGAGCAATACATTTGTTAATGTAATCTCTGATAATAAAAATACAGCTGTTCATTGTTTGTTCATGTTAGTTCACAGTGCTAATTTGAACAAATACGTTTGATTTTGATAACGTATTAGTAAATGTTGACGTTAACATTAACTAAGATTAATAAATGCTGTAGAAGTATTGTTCATTCTTAGTTCATGTTAACTAAGGTCAACTGATGAACCTTATTGTAAAGTGTTACCAATTATTTAAAATGAAAAAGATTTCTTTATTAGTTTATCTTGCATCACAGCAAAATTGAGGATTATTGACCTTATTTTCTTGCCAAAGCCACATATTTTACTTGCATTTGTCACCTGGAACCTAAAAATAGACTTTTGATTTGCCTCTAGTGTAAAAGAAAAGCATGCATAATTACGCCATGTGTCACCGTATTACTGTAAAAAAAAAAAAAAAAAAAAAAAACATTTGTGTTGACATGCATGCAAATCCTTCAGAACATTTGGCTGATATGAGAACAAAAATTCTGCATATTGTTTTCCTGGATGAAATCAGAGCGCTTGCCACCAGTAAAAGCCTGGAGCTCCAAACACAGACTTTTCAGGTTCTTACTATGTTATGGAGCACAGATATGTGTGTGTGTGTGTGTGTCTTTGCCCTCAGCGAGAGCGACAGAACAGTTTGTTAGTGGAGCAGATCGGGAATGATTCAGTCCCGGGGGAGGAGGAGGGGTGTCAGCGAGAGAGAGAGAGAGAGAGAGAGAGAGAGAGAGAGAGAGAGAGAGAGAGAGAGAGAGAAAGTGAGAAAGAGGCAAAAATAGAGGCATTATCACCATGCACAGAGATGTATAATTTGTTTTTATCATCCGGTGTTGATAATTTTGGAGTAATGGGGGCTGTATTTATATCATTCATGCATGTGATGAGTTTAAACATTTACATGCCATTGCACTCTAAAAAAATGCTGGGTTGTTTCAACTCATGTTTGGGTCAAATATGGACAAACCAAACCATTGGGTTTAGAATTGTATTCAAAAATTAAACCAACGGTTGGGTTCGTCCATATTTGACCCAAACATGAGTTGAAACAACCCATTTTTTTAGAGTGTGGAAGATGCATTATACTCAGATTGCATTCAAGATAAGCATTTATATTTGTTGTGTTCTCAGTATATGAGTTTGTGACATGTATGTTCATGCAAGTAACGTGTATAAACACAAGGTTAGTAAACATAAGGCAAGCTAAAAAGATTTGCAGTACTTTAAGAGTTAAACTGTACCTCACTTTATTAATGCTGAATGCATGTTTGACTGTTAAATATGTCTCATCTTGCATGATAATCCATGTGGAGGTGATGGTGACAGCTTTATACGCATGGATGGTAATCTCTGGGATTACAGTTATGTCCTTTTCCAAATAAACTAAAACGTTGGCGACAGAACCTTATAATTTTTGTTAGATATTTCATTTCACACTTTTTACTTTATCACTTTTTCCTCACAGGATTTACTCACCCTCCAGATGGATGCTGTATAGACTCTCTGAATGCTTTCTGCTTACTGTCATCCCGTTAACCGATTTGGAGTCTCACACACACGCGCGCGCGCACCGAAAACCGAGGCGCGATGCGTTTTGACATGTCACGCGCGCCCGCTAAAAAAAAAAACAACCGTCAGTGACTCAACCCACGAGCTGCGCGCGCTTAATCCAGCGGTCCGTTGGATTGGGCGGGAAGAATCGAGTGAGGAAACACGGGATTGGGTGGATTGAAGAGTCAAACTGATGATGTGACTCAGATGAGGAGAAGAATCCACATCACTTCACTTTACCTCAGCTGAGGAGTTTCTGTTCGGCGATCACGGAAAAAAGACGTTTTTCCTGTCCACATTATTGACCTAATTGGAATTAATAACAGGTTTGGACAAATAGCTCCGCCAAAAGGAAGATTATTAAAGAACATTGTACTATTTCACGATGGCTTTCATGGTAAAACACGTCGTCGGAGGCCAGCTGAAGAATCTGACAGGAGGTCTGACAGAAGAGAAACCTGAAGGAGAGAAATCCGAAGCGGCTGCTAAAGGAATGACACAAGAAGAGTTTGAAGAGTACCAACAACAGCTAGAGGAGGAAAAGTAAGACAAACCTTCCTTCATACCTGATATTAACGTGTTATTTCTCTGAAATTTGTTGATGTTTTTTGTGAGGTGAACGCTGTTGTAGAGAAGCGGACGTTTGGAAATGGGCGCGCATTTTTCGCGCTTCGTTGGATATCGCGCGCGCTCGCAGCTGCTCATTTCGCTCAGGGAGATTCTTGCTCAGTCAGATATGAATAATACTCCACATTATTCACATTACAGACCAACAGAATCGCGTGTGTAATTTAGAATATTTTACCTTACGAATTCTGTCAAGTTGGTTCAGACATTGGGAGGTTTTTGTATTTGTGTATGTAAGTTGTGTATTCTAAAGTAGTATCAGAATTGATCATTAGATTTTGATGAAATATATCTGTTCTTAAGCATGTGAGAACAAATTAAAAAATAATTTAATCAAAACACTTATAAAAAGAAATGTACCATAGGGCTACATTGATAAGAATGATTACCATATTAATGTACAATGGTATAATGGTACCCCAAGATACTTATCATGTTTACTGTGGTGTATATACAATGATACATGTCCAAAACACAATATAACCATGTTGGGCAAGTATAGATTCAGTTCTCTGCTTTACGCAAGATTAGAATCCACTCATTCTCGCCTCAGGTAAAATTATTTTAATTAGCATTTTACACAGTTTCATTTAAACCCCAATCACATTTTCCAATCGGAACATTTAACACTTTAATTAAACACTTCTTGTGAATTGTGAAAACCCAAAAAATGAGACTGTTATTGATCAAGCCAAACAATTCCTGTGTTCTTCACATGCTTTGTCTTTAGAAATCCTCTCATGAAGGACTTGAACAGGTGGCTGTGTTGGCAGTACGGTTTGCATAACTGCCATATTTGGAAAATTGTGATTTCACAGACTTCAAATGGCTTGCCGAGCTGGTAATCCAACTCATTTCCTCGGAGAGCAGATTTTACATGCTGAGAACAGCTAGTTTAAGACTGTTGACTTTGACAGGGAGTTGTGTGTTTAATCTCTCGAATCAGCCAAACCACCATGATCTTCTCAAAGGTTTTTTTTTTTTTTGCTGTTTATTTATATGGGGGTTATTTTAACTAGTCATTTGTTGTGGATGAGCATCAGTCGAGTGTCAGTGCGAGTCTAAATCCCTGAGATATTTTCGCTCGTACTCGTCTTCTCAGAAGCACTCATTTAGCAGACACCTATTATACGGATGATCCCTGTGGAGAAATCATAAAAGGAAGGTTCCAGGTTCAATACTACAGTACCTGGTGAAACTCGTCCATTAGTGTGTAATCCATTACTGTTCTCATATATATATATATATTTTTAAACAGATGCTGTTGATGCATCTTAACTTGTATTGAGCCTTGAACATTTAAGTGCCTTGATAGTGGCTTATTTCATCCTCTTTTCAGGGATCGAACCAACAACCCTCCAAATACCAAACCTAAATGTTATCTTTAATTGCTGGTTGTTATTCCTCCACTTAAATGTGTCCAATCTGTTATGACCTTTGCTTTAGCCCTGGAGATTTGTATTGACCTTTCACCTCACATGACCTTTAACAATAACGTAACACATCTTGAGGTTAAGTTAAAACCCCCTATTCTGCTATTTTAAAGGCTGCTAATGTTGTTTTGGCGTCTCCTACAACAGGTTCACATTTATCCAAGGTCAAACACACACTAATGTCCTCATAATCTCCACTGCAGCTTCAGCTCTTTCCTCTCAGTGTCTGAAACGCTTCCATCAAGGACTCAGTCTCTCTAAGCCCCGCCTCTCTGAGAGCTGCTCTGCTGTGATTGGTCAGAAAGCAAACGCTCATTATCATATCTGAATCTCAGCTCTTGATCACAGTGATGCGAACAGTAACGATGGCGTGGGTTTCACCGTCTCAATCTCAGAAAACAGCGTCTTCTCGACACGAACAACACGAGCCGAACTCTCCCAGTCTCAGATACACTACAGTGTTTGAGGGCGGAGCTAAGAGACGCTGCTCAGCCAATCAACACCACAGGCTGGCATAATGCTAATTAGTCACAAACCTGCGCAGGATCAGCAGGAAGTGAGACTGGATTACTGACGACTCGTTTCAGTTCAGAATCACTTCTTTCTTTTAGGAGACAGTAACTTAATTTAACTGAACTTTGATCGTTTACAGCTTTATTACACACTGCATGAAAGGGAATATCTAGAAAAAGCACTGAAGTTTTATAGTTATGTATTAAGTAAATCCATAACTAATCCATTTTTGAAATATTTCTATGTTGATTATTTCCAATGTTTGATTTTTTAAACCTTTTTTTTTAGGAATTAGAATAAATAGTATAATCAAAAAAAATTGTAATTCTAGGCTATTTGATTTTGCTGAAGGTGATTGTCTCATTGCGCACTTATTTTAAATATTTTCAGCTTTCTTTAATGGACAAATGCGATTGTTGTAAGCAACTGTTCATTTCACCAGACTTTTGGCAAATAAACCCTAGAAATCCAGTCAGTCTGAAGTTTTTAATGCTCTCTTTGAAGGTATTTATTCCACGAGTTTCCTCGGCGTTCGGAGGAAAGCAGTTTAATCCTGCAGAATGACATCTCTCTCTGTGGACGTAGACTTGTTTTAGCTCATGCTAACATTTAGAAATGGCTTGTCATGACAGATTACTTTTTAAGGTCAATTTAGGTCTTATATGATCATTATTCAAATAAGCATACCAAAAAAAATCCTAAAATTAGTCCAATCAACAATCAGTTCAATTGCTGTTTAAATTAGAAATCGGCCAGATGATGCTTATTAGCTGGAGATTGACGTGTTAGACTTGCGTAGATGATAAATGACCCAGTTCGTCCTCAGATTGCAGTGTTTGTGTGTTTTTGAGATGCTTCTGTTCTCATTTCTCCTCAGGCAAGAGCGAGACACCAATTTTGCCCAGAAGAAGGCGGAGAGGGCGACTATCAGGACTCACTTCAGAGACAAGTACAGGTTGCCCAAGGTAACAATTAATCACACATCTGCTCACACTATTAACTTACATCCCGACACCTCGCTCATCACACACTGGGCCGAAGCGCACGTCACCACCGAATACAGTGTTATATTGTGCTTGAAGATATTATTAATAAGGTTCCATTTGTGAACTGCGACATGAACTAACAATGAAAAATACGTCTAAAGCATTTATAAAATGAACAGTTGCATTTTTATTAACTAACATTAACAATGATTATACTCTAACAAATATATTGATCATTGTTAACGTTCATTTAATAATTTAGCAGACCCTTTATCCACTAATTTACCTTAATTTATAGGAGTGTAACGACTCGATACATATCACGACACTGAACTCACGATACGATATTATTGTGATACTCCAAGACTTATGGTAAAAGGTTAACAAAAATGAACTGTTGATTAAAATGCTAAATTTGATATTACATTGTGTGTGTAAATGAATATTCTTGGACTCAGTGCTGAAACCCAAAGCACAGACAATAGAGACGCCAGAATAACAATATTCATGATTCTGAAGCTGGAAATACTGAGTTATTGTAGATGAATATGTTTGATCTCTGTCACTGACTAGATATATTTATAATAATGTCGGCCACTTTCACTGGTATCATCAGACATCTGGCATTATCAGGAGCCACACATATTCCCCCACTGCATTATTATACATTATATCCAACATTATATATAGTAGTTTAATGTAGTACTGACACTAAAACTCTGAAAACAAGAATTTTTTCTCACACAGTCATTTTTTTTGGGGGCGAACTATACACAATACATATTGTTGCATTTTTGTATTGCGATATATTGTGACTCGATATATTGTTAAATATACCCCCTATTCATTTACTTTAGTTGTGACCAAGATTTTGAAGCCTATTTTACTGATTCAAATTTTTTGCATTGTGAAATGATTTTTATCATTAATAATTACTCATTCCCCAATACTCAATAGTGTACTATAATAACAAAAACTTACATTAATTACATAATTAATTTAATTACTCATTACTGTAATGCAAAAAAATAATATTTTAATTGCAAAAGCCTACTAAATTTAAATTAGATAAGAAAGTTCATTAAGACAAACGCTGATGTTGGCGTGAGAAAGCTTGACCTGTTCCAGTTTTAAAGCTTGAAGTTTGAGGGTTTTGAAGGCAATGCAGTCAGAAATGCAGGTTAATTGTGCATTTCGATAATGACATAGTTGAATAATGACATACATGCATAGTAACAGGCAAATAAATAATAATTAATAGATATTTAGATACCAATATTTAATTTCAAGTGATGTTTAAATGACAATACTACTAATAAAATTCAAGTAAAAAAATAATTATGTATTCTAAGCATCGCATTTGTGGACTTGTGGTTCCTCTGCCTCTGAGAATCCCAGTTAACCCATCGACTGATCGGGAATGCTGTCAGTAAAATGCAAACCAAAACAAACAAGACTTCATACTGAATACAGGGTAAAAGTGTGTTTAGATAGACAGGGTAATGAACTAAATGAAACAAGACACAACTGAAACATATAAATGAATAATGAGCAGGGAGTTGTGGGAAATGAAGTCTGGGAATATGGAGACGGTGAGGGACGAGGCTGCCATCTGCTGGTACACAAGGACAGGTGTAACACAGCTAAACTGTTTGATAATCAAGTTGAGTCAGCTTTATTTCTATAGCGCTTTTTACAATACTGATCGTTTCAAAGCAGCTTTACAGAGATAACAGGAAAATAATGCAAATGTTGTTTCCAGAAGAAAATAGCGTCACAGTCCAGCTTAAGTAAGTTCAGTGATGGCTGATGTTTGTTGTAAAAAAGTTATTAATTTAGTTCATTTATATATATAGCGGCTCTGGAGAAAACCGTGATGTCATCGTCCAGCTCAGTTCAGTTCTCATATAATGCTGTCAATGCAGGAGATCAATAATATTGATGAATATTAAATTAAATGTCTCCAACTAAGCAAGACAAAAGCGAAAAAGGCGACAATAGCAGTGATTCTCATTTCTTTGCCATTCTGGAGAGAAATGGTCTCTCTCTCTCTCTATATATATATATATATTTTTTTTTTAAACCCATCTCTGGAGTGTGATGCTGAACTCACATGAGAGTTTTTGTATTGTTTTTGTATGAACATTGATATTTTATTTGGCACAATAGCTCGCTCAGTCCCAGACAGCAACATAGTTTCGGCCCAGATCCGGCCCACATCTGGGCGGCGTTGAATCCACATTCACCAGATGTGGGCCGGACCTGGACCCACACCATGTTGCTGTCTGGGAATACCAGGTGTGATACCTATAGACTAAAGACGTAATACGCCTGTACACGCCATCAGCGTTTCCACAGATTCACGTTTTTTAAGTTTACGCGGAGATGATAACATTTTTCAACACTTGCACCTGGGAATCTTTTTCAAGGTTTACGTTCTCGAGCACCAAACACTGTTGTCGTGCGAGTGAGCGGCCGGATCGCGTTAAGGTCTTTCTGAGAGAACGGTGTCGTGTTAGCGGCCCCTAAGTTAATAACTAATGATCTTTGCAACGGAAGTGAATCAATCTAAACTAACTTAATCTGGACAATAACTTTATTCTAGAGCTGCTGTAAAGCCAAACAATCTCTGTTACTTTAATTTCCTATTATCACTGCGCTGGCGCTTTGCAACGTCAAGGTCACGGGTTCGATTCCCAGGGAAAGCAAGAACTGATAAGAATGTAAATGTGTACCTTGAAATGCAATGTGAGTCGCTTTGGATAAAAGCGTCTGCCAAATGCATAAATGAACAGGGCCTAATGTATTTGTATGTATTTCATGGCCTGTTTTTCAGAACGAGTTGGACGAGACTCAGATCCAGGCTGCGCGGGATGACGTTGAGCTCCCCACTGAATTGGCCAAGATGATCGCCGAAGACAACCAGGAGGAGGAGCAGAAGCAGTCGGTCCTGGGTCAGCTGACCAACATCCAGAACGTGGACATGGGCCATCTGAAGGGCAAAGCTCAGGCCACGCTGGAGGACCTGAAGAACTCTGCCGAGAAGTGCTGCGTCATGTGATCATCCTCTCCTCGTCTCCAAACACATGCTGACAAACATCCGTATTCATATATCCAGTGTGACGTGTAGGTTTCATGATGCTAATGTTGTTCTAGGAGTTTAAATGTCATCAAATGTACACACCCTGCTCGGAGAATCTCACGGAAAACATGCTCAGGTCGCATTTCACCTCACGGGAAAGGTATATTTTGCATAAATTATGTTCTCATGAAAGTAACGTCGCAATGCAAATGACGTGCAAGTATAATTTCTTGACTTTGTGGTGAAATACGACATGTTTCTGGAGATTCACTGCTCCGGTCTGAACAGGTTTATTACAGCGATAGCGTAGCGAGTTCGGAGAAACGACTCCCCAGACAGCAGCATAGTGTCGGCTCAGATCCGGCCCACATCCGGGCCGCCCTGAATCCACATGTACCAGATGTGGGCCGGATCTGGAACGCATTGAATCCACATGTTCCAGATGTGGCCCGGATCTGGAACGCATTGAATCCACATGTACCAGATGTGGCCCTGATCTGGGCCACGTTGAATCCACATGTTCCAGATGTGGCCCGGATCTGGAACGCATTGAATCCACATGTTCCAGATGTGGCCCGGATCTGGAACGCATTGAATCCACATGTTCCAGATGTGGCCCGGATCTGGAACGCATTGAATCCACATGTTCCAGATGTGGCCCGGATCTGGAACGCATTGAATCCACATGTTCCAGATGTGGGCCGGATCTGGAACGCATTGAATCCACATGTTCCAGATGTGGCCCGGATCTGGAACGCATTGAATCCACATGTTCCAGATGTGGCCCGGATCTGGAACGCATTGAATCCACATGTTCCAGATGTGGCCCGGATCTGGAACGCATTGAATCCACATGTTCCAGATGTGGCCCGGATCTGGAACGCATTGAATCCACATGTACCAGATGTGGCCCTGATCTGGGCCACGTTGAATCCACATGTTCCAGATGTGGCCCTGATCTGGGCCACGTTGAATCCACATGTTCCTGATGTGGCCCTGATCATTGGCCACGTTGAATCCACATGTTCCAGATGTGGCCCGGATCTGGAACGCATTGAATCCACATGTTCCAGATGTGGCCCGGATCTGGAACGCATTGAATCCACATGTTCCAGATGTGGGCCGGATCTGGAACGCATTCAATCCACATGTTCCAGATGTGGCCCGGATCTGGAACGCATTGAATCCACATGTTCCAGATGTGGCCCGGATCTGGAACGCATTGAATCCACATGTTCCAGATGTGGCCCGGATCTGGAACGCATTGAATCCACATGTTCCAGATGTGGCCCGGATCTGGAACGCATTGAATCCACATGTACCAGATGTGGCCCTGATCTGGGCCACGTTGAATCCACATGTTCCAGATGTGGCCCTGATCTGGGCCACGTTGAATCCACATGTTCCTGATGTGGCCCTGATCTGGGCCACGTTGAATCCACATGTTCCAGATGTGGCCCGGATCTGGAACGCATTGAATCCACATGTACCAGATGTGGCCCTGATCTGGGCCACGTTGAATCCACATGTTCCAGATGTGGCCCGGATCTGGAACGCATTGAATCCACATGTTCCAGATGTGGCCCGGATCTGGAACGCATTGAATCCACATGTTCCAGATGTGGCCCGGATCTGGAACGCATTGAATCCACATGTACCAGATGTGGCCCTGATCTGGGCCACGTTGAATCCACATGTTCCAGATGTGGCCCTGATCTGGGCCACGTTGAATCCACATGTTCCAGATGTGGCCCTGATCTGGGCCACGTTGAATCCACATGTTCCAGATGTGGCCCTGATCTGGGCCACGTTGAATCCACATGTTCCAGATATGGCCCGGATCTGGAACGCATTGTATCCACATGTACCGGATGTGGCCCGGATCTGGAACGCGTTGAATCCACATGTTCCAGATGTGGCCCGGATCTGGAACGCATTGAATCCACATGTACCAGATGTGGCCCTGATCTGGGCCACGTTGAATCCACATGTTCCAGATGTGGCCCTGATCTGGGCCACGTTGAATCCACATGTTCCAGATATGGCCCGGATCTGGAACGCATTGAATCCACATGTACCGGATGTGGCCCGGATCTGAAACGCATTGAATCCACATGTGGCCCGGATCTGGAACGCATTGAATCCACATGTTCCAGATGTGGCTCGGATCTGGAACGCATTGAATCCACATGTTCCAGATGTGGCCCGGATCTGGAACGCGTTGAATCCACATGTGGCCCGGATCTGGAACGCATTGAATCCACATGTTCCAGATGTGGCTCGGATCTGGAACGCATTGAATCCACATGTTCCAGATGTGGCCCGGATCTGGAACGCATTGAATCCACATGTTCCAGATGTGGCCCGGATCTGGAACGCATTGAATCCACATGTTCCAGATGTGGCCCGGATCTGGAACGCATTGAATCCACATGTTCCAGATGTGGCCCGGATCTGGAAAGCATTGAATCCACATGTTCCAGATGTGGCCCGGATCTGGAACGCATTGAATCCACATGTTCCAGATGTGGCCCGGATCTGGAAAGCATTGAATCCACATGTTCCAGATGTGGCCCTGATCTGGGCCACGTTGAATCCAAATGTTTCAGATGTGGCCCTGATCTGGAACGCGTTGAATCCACATGTTCCAGATGTGGCCCTGATCTGGAACGCGTTGAATCCACATGTTCCAGATGTGGCCCTGATCTGGAACGCGTTGAATCCACATGTTCCAGATGTGGCCCTGATCTGGGCCGACACTATGTTGCTGTCTGGGTCGCTACGTCTGTATGAAGGGCTTATGGGAGCAGGAATGGAGGTCCTTCCACACAAACACCTTCACGTTTCACCTTAATGACCCCTGACGTCATTAACGCCCTTTGACCTTTCATTGAGTGCTGCTGTTTTGTGCAGGTGGTTTGGTGTCGTCGACCTTTTTCTTTCTGGTTTTCCCTCTTATAGAGAGCGTTTCTTTAAAAAAAAAAAAAACAGACAGTAACAGTGTCTGCCCACATCTGGGCCGTGTGTAATCCACATGTGGGCCGGATCTGAGCCGACACCGTTGCTGTCTGGGAATAATGATCTTCTGTTGAGGTGAGAATGAAGGAGTTCATGTTCTGTGTCTTACGAATGAAGCCATACTGGGGTTTGGGTTTTGAGTGAAGGAGCAATAAGCGAAAAAACATAAAGCAATATTAATATTACCATCTCTGATCTAAAGGACAGAGCTGATAGCCAGTCCATGTGAAGAAAAAGGCTGTATTTGATTTGACCCGTAAGATTATTGTATGTTTATTTCTTTATTAATGGCAAGAGTGGTGTTTATTTTACTTATGCCCTCGATAGTCGTTTCCGCTGCATAAGTAACGTAATTACCAATGTGATGCAGTCGTGTAATTATTCTTCTGTAATTTCCAGACCTTGCTGATTTTTGACTGTTGAAAGTGTAATAAATAAATTTGTACAAAGATTATGATGCATGTGATGTGATTTCAGGCTTTGTGTGATCATGCAGTGCCGTGTCTGACCTGTAGGTGGCGATATCGGACAACAGAAACACGCTTCACTAACACTAATGCTCTCGTCAGGAAGCCTATAGGTGGGTAGTGGACCTAACAAATAACCTTTTAGCAAACGAACATCCAGTTTAGGTAAATATCAAGTGTTTTTAATCAGTTTTTAGCCGTTGAAGTTCAATAGTCCAACAGTTTCTCATCTACATAGCATTTCTACAACTATAATGTCCTTTGAAACTGTTTTAGATGCAGTATAACTCGACTACCCAGCTGTGATTTAGTGTGTTTTACCTCACTGATTCTGTTTATATTTACACTTATTCATTTAGCAGACGATTTCATCCAAAGCACCTTACATATGAGGAACACGACACGTGATTCAGCGTACACACGAGAGCTGCAGGTAACAGTTTCAGACGCCGCTCAGACACGACAAACTACAGGCAGAGATTGAGGAAAACCCAACTGAAATAATCTTTACAACAATATGATGATATTGCGAGTTTGATTTAGAGAATTTGAGATTAACAAACAGAAATTTTAAAAATCAACATTATAGAAGCACATTTGCACCACACAAGAAAGAAAATCATGCCTTTAAATCATAATTATGACATAAAATGTTAAAATTATGACAAAATTGTAATTTAGATTTTTTTATGTGATAATCTGTACTTTTGTTATAATTTCGACTTGTCAAAATTATGATTTCTTGTGTCAATTTTAACTTTTTGTCATAATTTACATTTTTTTTGGTGTCATTATGACGTCCTAATTTCGATGTATCATTATTTAGACTTTTTCGGTCATAATTTCAACATGACGTAATTTTGACTTCTTGATATAAATATGACTTTTTTATGGAAGCTTGTTTCCGCCACAGAATGAAAAATAAAAAAGGTAATTGCGACTTTTTATCTCACAATTCTGACTTTTTTTCTCACAATTGCGAGTTTACATCTCGCAATTCTGACTTTATTTCTCACAATTCCGAGATATAAAGTCATAACTGCGTGATATAAAGTCGCAATTGCAGGTTATTAAGTCAGAATTGCGTGATATAAAGTCGAAATTGCGAGATATAAAGTCAGAATTGCGTGAAATAAAGTCGCAATTGCGTGTTGTAAAGTCAGAATTGCGAGATATAAAGTCGCAATTGCGTGTTATAAAGTCAGAATTGCGAGATATAAAGTCGCAATTGCGTGTTATAAAGTCAGAATTCCGAGATATAATGTCGCAATTGCGTGTTGTAAAGTCAGAATTGTGAGATATAAAGTCAGAATTGCGTGAAATAAAGTCGCAATTGCAGGTTATATAGTCAGAATTGCGTGATATAAAGTCGAAATTGCGAGATATAAAGTCAGAATTGCGTGAAATAAAGTCGCAATTGCGTGTTGTAAAGTCAGAATTGCGAGATATAAAGTCGCAATTGCGTGTTATAAAGTCAGAATTGCGAGATATAATGTCGCAATTGCGTGTTGTAAAGTCAGAATTGTGAGATATAAAGTCAGAATTGCATGAAATAAAGTCGCAATTGCGTGTGGTGAAGTGAGAATTGCGAGATATAAAGTCAGAATTGCGTGATATAAAGTCGCAATTGCAGGTTATATAGTCAGAATTGCGTGATATAAAGTCGCAATTGCGTGTTGTAAAGTCAGAATTGCGAGAAATAAAGTCGCAATTGCGTGTTATAAAGTCAGAATTGCGTGAAATAAAGTCGCAATTGCGTGTTGTAAAGTCAGAATTGTGAGATATAAAGTCGCAATTGCGTGTTGTAAAGTGAGAATTGCAAGAAATAAAGTCAGAATTGCGTGAAATAAAGTTGCAATTGCATGTTATAAAGTCAGAATTGATTGATATAAAGTCGCAACTGCGTGTTATAAAGTCAGAATTCTGAGATATAAACTATTCTGAGGGGAAAAAAGTTAGTCTTTTTTTCCCTTAGAATTGGTCTGATAACTCGCAATTGCGAGTTTATATCTCACAATTCTGAGAAAAGATGTCAGAATTGCGAGATGTAAACTCGCAATTGTGAGAAGAAAAGTTAGAATTGTGAGATAAAAAGTCTCAATTCTGTCTTTTTTTCTTGCAATAGCGACTTTATTTCTCATAATTGCGACTTTATATCTCGTAATTGCGACTTTATTTCTCAGAATTGCGACTTTATATCTCGCAATTGTGACTTTATTTCTCAGAATTGCGACTTTATATCTCGCAACTGCGACTTTATTTCTCACTATTCTGACTTCATATCTCGCAATTGTGAGATAAAAAGTCGCAATTTTTTTTTTTTTTTTTTTATTCAGTGGGGGAAACAAGCTTCCATACTTTTTTTGTTATAATTATGACTTTTTATGTTATGTTTTTGACTTATTGTTGACTTTTGTTGTATTTCAGAAATGTACATATACAAAGTCACAGTTAGCTAAAAAATTATTAATTTAAACAATGTAATAATTTAATGAAATAATAAGTAATTAATAATTATGGTTTGTTAGCAAATGATTATGACATTTAGAAAACATAGCTTTGGTGCGTGTTGATTCAGTGCGTCATCTGAAACCTTCGCAGGCGTTGGCACCGTATATGTCATAGTTTTGACTTTTTATGTTATGATTGACTTTTTTATGTCACATGATTTACCAAAGCATGATTTTCCCCCTAATGTGTCAGAAACGGGCTTCCACATTACATGTTTTCTGGCTGTGCGCGTCCCCTAGCGTCCCCCATCTGAAGACTGACACAGGGACTCCTCTATCCCAGCTGTCCTGTCACACACTCCGGGACGGCTCTGCTTCTCCTCCTCAATCCCGCTGTTTTCCATGTGAATAGCCGAGGACGGCGGGTCTCAAGTGCGCAGTGAAAGGACAGGGCAGTAAAGATATTGTTGTGGAAAGTCTCTCTATTGGCGTTCCTCTGGGCTGCTGCATGGCCAGGCGCACACAAAGAGGGTGAAACGGTCCAGAAAACACTTTTGTGGCCTTTTCTTTTCCACCGGGGCGCGATTAAACCGCCCGAAAGCAGCCCGAGGGGAACGGGGGAAGAAACCCACCGGGACCGGCTCGGCTTATACAGGGGCTTGTTCTTGGGTTCACGCTAAAGAGAAACAGATTTGTTTTTCTGCGCTTTAAATTGAAGAAGTGGTTTGCAGATGTTGAGCTTCCAACAGAGGAATGTGTGTTTCTCTCTCTCTCTCTCTCCTGACAGGGTTTTGTAATCTCACGCAGAGAGAGAGAGAGAACGAGAGACCACACAGCTTGCAAGCTTCATGAAATTTATAAACATTTTATTTGTCCCGTACAGGAGGTGAGCTTTGCCAAAAACGGCGTTTCTATGGATGAAATCCCGCGTTTACAGCCAATAGAACAAGAGAATGAATAATAAAGAGAGAGAGGAGGGTTTCGGAGGAGGGGTCGTGTGTGTGTGTGTGTGTGTGTGTGTGTAAATGCACAGCCGAGCGTGAAAGAGTCGGAGGGACAAAGACATGCAGCATGAAGCCGTAACAGGAGCAGAACACACTCTGAACTACACGAGAAAGCAGGGTTCTCCTGAAGACCTCGGATCGCAGGGACCGCACTGATCGACTGATGAAAAGCTTCATTGAGGAGGAAATGTGTGTCTGAAATGAAGTTTTTCAACTCTCACTTGTTGACAGAGAAAAGCATCGGATCGCAGGGATTGGACTGAACTGAAAGCTTCATTGTGGAGTTTAATTGCATGACTTTTCTATGATGCGTTCTCGCAGAAACTAACTCTAGAACTCGCAGAAGCTGAATTTTATGCGACGCAAGCGGAGGATTCTCCTGAAGACACGGAGGATTGCATCGGATCGCAGGGATTGGACTGACCGACCGACTGAAAAGCTTCATTATTGAGTAAATGCGTGACTTTTCTCGCTGAAACTCACTGAAGTTTTTGCATTTCTCACTCAAACCCCAAACGGAGGATTCTCCTGAACACAGAGGAATGCCCTCGGATCGCAGCGGACTGGACTGAGTGCACGGCTAAGAAGCTTACTTGTGGACTAAATGCATGAGTTTTCTCGCTGAAGCCCACTGAAGTGTTAGCCGCGCGATGCCCTGCGTCCCCCCGGCGCTGCGCCTGAGAGCCGCACCGATGCGCGCGTGCGTCTGAGCTCAGACATGAAGATCCTCTCGGCGCTCGTCGTCTGGGCTGTGATGGCGACTCTGGACGCTCAGCTGGTTTGCTGGCAGGCGCTAGTCAGGTGTCACGAGGAGCGCGAGTGTGAGCTAGCGTATAACCAGTATCTGAGCGCGTGCGACGGGAACATCCGCGGGGAACGCCGCCAGTGTCCTAGCCACTGTATTAGCGCGCTAATCCGCCTCAACCAAACCGGATCCGGGCCGGATCTGGAGAGATGCTCCTGCGAGACGGATCGCGAGTGTCTGAGCGCTAAACGAGCCATCGACCCCTGTCTCCCGCGCACTCATCCTAGCGGAGCCGACAGCATGGGCTGCACCGAAGCGCGCCGGCGGTGTGAGGACGACCCCGCGTGTCACGCGGCTCTGATGGCGTATCTGTCCCACTGTGGACAGCTGTTCAACGGGAGGAAGTGTTCGCCGCAGTGCCGCTCCACCATCGAGCAGCTTCTGCTAATGCCGAACGGCGTGATGCTAAACACCTGCGTGTGCGACGGCCTCGAGCGGCCGTTCTGTGAGGTGGTGAAGCAGAACATGGTGAAGCTGTGTTTGATCGGCGATCCCGGCGGCGAACACGACGACGCGTACGAGGACGAGGATTACGAGGCGCGGCCGGGAAGCGAGGCGAGCGATGCGGGGACGTCCAGCTCCAGCGCTTCGGCTCTGTCTCAACGCGTGCTGTTGCTGCTCGTTCTCGCTGCGTTCCGGACTCTGTGAACACGGCTGAGAGAAACCGCTGGAATACACGACGCTTCTCCACATCTGCACACGAGGCTCGCCGGCTCTGTGAGCGCTGGCAGGAAGAAATGGCATCGAAACTGAAGATCACACACAAAATTGGTTACACTTTGACTTTGTCGAAAAATTTCAAATGTTTTTTTGTCATTATTGACTTTTTTTTCATAATTTTGATATTTTTCGTCATAATTCTATGTAGTTTTGAGTTTTTATTTTCGCTCTCGCTGCGTTTGAGACTCTTTAAATGGCCGGATGATGGAATGAAACCAGATTCCATATCTGGAATACACTTCAGATCTGGAGATTTTAACTTTCTGCTGCCTTTAAAGGTGCAATATACTATATATGTGGCTTTTTCACTCTACTAAAGCATAAAATACCATAACATGTCTGCATATATTGAGGAAACTGCTGAGCACACACTCGCTTCTCTGATAAACACTTTACTCTGCAATGTGCGTTTCCAGGCTGGGATGTTTGTTGTGGTCTGATACTGTACGTTGACCCGTGTGAGCGTCGAGTCCGAGGAGGCGGGAGAAACCACGATCTACAATATTTTGAATTCGACTGCTAGAAAAGTAAAATGATTTAAGAAATTGTATCTTGTTTTCTGAAATAAAAAATCTAAATGAAGTGAGTTTTTGCTTAAAACAAGCTAAATTATTTGCCGATGGGATAATAAAAATAATCTTGTTTTGCATTTGAATTCAGATTATTTTTCATGTTTTCCATTAGAATTGTTTTTTTCTTGTTGTCCATTAGAATTGTTTTTTCTTTCTTGTTTTTCATTAGAATTAAGATTTTTTTTCTTGTTTTCCATTAGAATTATTTTTCTTCTTGTTTTCCGTTTGTTTTAATATTTTTTTTCTTGTTGTCCATTAGAATTGTTTTTTTGCTTGTTTTCCATTAGATTTAAGATTTTTTTTCTTGTTTTCCATTAGAATTAAGTTTTTTTTTTTTTATTAATTTTTTTTCTTGTTTTCTATCAGAATTAATTTTTTTCTCTTGTTTTCCATTAGAATTACGATAATGTTTTTCTCGTTTTCCATTAGAATTAAGATTTTTCTTGTTTTCCATTTGAAGTTTTTTTTCTTGTTTTCCATTAGAATTAAGTTTTTTTCTTGTTTTCCATTAGAATTAAGTTTTTTTCTTGTTTTCCATTTGAATTACAATAAATTTTTCTTGTTTTCTATTAGAGTTAAGTTTTTTTCTTGTTTTCCATTAGAATTCTTTTTTCTTTCTTGTTGTCCATTAGAATTGTTTTTATTTCTTGTTTTTCATTAGAATTAAGTTTGTTTTCCATTAGAATTATTTTTCTTCTTCTTGTTTTCCGTTTGTTTTAATATTTTTTTTCTTGTTGTCCATTAGAATTTTTTTTTCTTGTTTTCCATTTGGATTATTGTTTTTTTCTTGTTTTCCATTAGAATTAAGATTTTTTCTTGTTTTCCATTCGAATTATGTTTTTTTTATTGTTTTCCATTAGAATTAAGTTTTTTCTTGTTTTCCATTAGAATTAAGTTTTTTTTATTGTTTTCCATTAGAATTAAGATTTTTTCTTGTTTTCCATTCGAATTAAGTTTTTTCTTGTTTTCCATTAGAATTAATTTTTTTCTTGTTTTCCATTAGAATTAAGTTTTTTTCTTGTTTTCCATTTGAATTAAGTTTTTTTCTTGTTTTCCATTAGAATTAAGATTATTTTTTCTTGTTTTCCATTAGAATTAAGTTTTTTTCTTGTTTTCCATTAGAATTAAGTTTTTTCTTGTTTTCCATTTGAATTATGTTTTTTTTTCTTGTTTTCCATTAGAATTAAGTTTTTTCTTGTTTTCCATTAGAATTAAGTTTTTTCTTGTTTTCCATTAGAATTAAGTTTTTTTCTTGTTTTCCATTAGAATTAAGTTTTTTTCATGTTTTCCATTAGAATTAAGTTTTTTCTTGTTTTCCATTAGAATTAAGATTTTTTTCTTGTTTTCCATCTGAATTAAGTTTTTTTCTTGTTTTCCATCTGAATTATGATTTTTTTTCTTGTTTTGCATTAGAATTCAGATGATTTTCTCCCCCCGTTGGCAGATAGTTTGGCTTGTTTGCAGTGTTAAAGCAGACACTCTATTAATACTCTAATGAGAGTTAGTTGACATGTAGTTACTTAGCAGAATGTCTAAAGTGGAACATTGAAATAGAATGTAACCAAAAAGGTTAAATATTAAACTTTACGGTTCTAGACTCAATTTTAAAGACGCCTTCATTCCAAAAAATGCGAAAGGTCTGAAATGATTGCATTTTGATTTCATGTTTAATGTTTTTTTCTTCTGCTGATAGAGCATGTTTACGAGCTGCTTAATTCATAAAATGTAATTACAAAATGACTTAAAACTAAAGTAATGAAATGATCCCGAACCCTTCAAGCTTCGGAACCGTTTCGTCTGACTTGTAAGTCGTTTTGCACACAGCAAACGCACGCGGAAACATGCGCCTATTATCATCTCAGTAATGTGTTTGATCGAATCAGAATCCGAGTCTGTCCATCCGAGAATCTGCTCGTGTTGCATCGACTCGTCGGGCCTGAATCTGAGCAATCGTGGACTCCAGCCTGACTCGAGATGTTCGGGACGGGAACTCTCCGCAGTGTGTTAAGATCCAGCGTGTGGTGAAGTGTGTGTTCAGTGACTCGAGATGTTCGGGACGGGAACTCTCCGCAGTGTGTGTTAAGATCCAGCGTGTGGTGAAGTGTGTGTTCAGTGACTCGAGACGTGTGTCGAGCTCTTGCTGCCAGCAGACTCTCATTGTACTCGCATCTTCCTCAAACATGTGAGTGCGCGACTCATAAAGGAGCGGTTCCGGGATCAAGTGCTTCGTTCAGGAGAAGAGGCCCTTCAGGAGCCGTGAACAGCCTCACACACACTTCAGCTTTACTGGACTCTGGTGTTGAACAGCCTCACACACACTTCAGCTTTACTGGACTCTGGTGTTGAACAGCCTCACACACACTTCAGCTTTACTGGACTCTGGTGTTGAACAGCCTCACACACACTTCAGCTTTACTGGACTCTGGTGTTGAACAGCCTCACACACACTTCAGCTTTACTGGACTCTGGTGTTGAACAGCCTCACACACACTTCAGCTTTACTGGACTCTGGTGTTGAACAGCCTCACACACACTTCAGCTTTACTGGACTCTGGTGTTGAACAGCCTCACACACACTTCAGCTTTACTGGACTCTGGTGTTGAACAGCCTCACACACACTTCAGCTTTACTGGACTCTGGTGTTGAACAGCCTCACACACACTTCAGCTTTACTGGACTCTGGTGTTGAACAGCCTCACACACACTTCAGCTTTACTGGACTCTGATGTTGAACAGCCTCACACACACTTCAGCTTTACTGGACTCTGGTGTTGAACAGCCTCACACACACTTCAGCTTTACTGGACTCTGGTGTTGAACAGCCTCACACACACTTCAGCTTTACTGGACTCTGGTGTTGAACAGCCTCACACACACTTCAGCTTTACTGGACTCTGGTGTTGAACAGCCTCACACACACTTCAGCTTTACTGGACTCTGGTGTTGAACAGCCTCACACACACTTCAGCTTTACTGGACTCTGATGTTGAACAGCCTCACACACACTTCAGCTTTACTGGACTCTGGTGTTGAAGCGCATTTCTACACGTCTCCATTCCTCATGAATGCTGGAAATCAACACCCAGTGCCTGAAAAACGTCAACAAACTGATTTTTTCCATGCAAGTTAATATTTAATTTCAGTGGTTTTCAATTTCAAACGTTCTTTCTTTGCATAATAATGAATTATTAGTAATGTCTGTCTAGTGAGTTTATGTAAACTCTGAGATCAGAAACAAACTCTATGCAAATCTTCTTCTACACTGCAAAAATGCTTTTCTTACTTAGTGTTTTTGACTTGTTTCCAGTTCCAGTTTCCAGTTTTTAAGAAAAAATTCTTAAATCAAGAAGCATTTACTAGATAAGAGAAATGACAAGAGAAATTCTGTCTCGTTTCCTGATAATTTTTTTTATAAATAAGTGAGTTTTTGCTTAAAACTAGCAATATTATCTGCCAATGGGGTCAGAAAAATAATCTTGTTTTCCATTTGAATTAAGATTTTTTCTTATTTTCCATTTGAATTAAGATTTTTTTTCTTGTTTTCCATTAGAATTAATTTTTTTCTTGTTTTTCATTAGAATTAAGATTTTTTTTCTTATTTTTCATTAGAATTATTTTTTTTCTTATTTTTCATTAGAATTAAGTTTTTTTCTTATTTTTCATTAGAATTAAGATTTTTTTCTTATTTTTCATTTGAATTAAGATTTTTTTCTTATTTTTCATTAGAATTAATTTTTTTTCTTATTTTTCAGTTGAATTAAGATTTTTTTTCTTGTTTTCCATTTGAATTAAGATTGTTCTTGTTTTCCATTAGAATTAAGATTTTTTCTTATTTTTCATTAGAATTAAGATTTTTTTAAGCTTTCATTAGAATTAAGTTTTTTCTTATTTTTCTTTAGAATTAAGTTTTTTTTAAAGCTTTCATTAGAATTAAGTTTTTTCTTATTTTTCATTAGAATTAAGTTTTTTTCTTATTTTTTATTAGAATTAAGATTTTTTTTCTTATTTTTCATTAGAATTAAGATTTTTTCTTATTTTTCATTTGAATTAAGATTTTTCTTGTTTTCCATTAGAATTAAGATTTTTTTCTTGTTTTCCATTTGAATTAAGATTGTTCTTGTTTTCCATTAGAATTAAGATTTTTTTTCTTATTTTTCATTATAATTAAGTTTTTTTCTTGTTTTCCATTAGAATTAAGTTTTTTTCTTGTTTTCCATTAGAATTAAGTTTTTTTCTTATTTTTCATTAGAATTAAGATTTTTTTCTTGTTTTCCATTTGAATTAAAAAAAAAATCTTGGTTTCCATTTCAATTAAGATTTTTTTTCTGACCCCATTGGCAGATAATTCAGCTTGTTTTAAGCAAAATCT